CGAAGACGACGACGACGACGACGACGACGACGGAACTGAAATAAAATCATCTCGCTCGCCATTTCAATACGCCATGATCTCGTACACTAATCGTATTGAACTTGGTGGCAATCGCTTCAGAACCTTCAATTCCTATAGTGAATGTATCAATAACTTTTCCTCATATATAGCGGTTCATAAGATATTTCGTTCCAAACACAGGTATAAGGAGTTGACTCGAGTAAAGAGTCTCGGCGCGCTGCGCCCTGTACAGCCGGTTGCCTGTACTTGGCGCGAGACTCGACCGAGTCTCTTGATAAGGAATAAGGAATAATAAGGTTCTAATGCATTGTTAGTTCTTATAAATTCCGGAAATCTAGTGTTGATTCAGTATGTTTGTATGGACCTAAAGTTCAGATGAAGTTGTGGTGAGATTGGTGAATGATAGTAAGTAATGATGTTTCACAAAACTCTGAGAATAGAATCACCAGATATACTTCATTATTTTCATTAACTTAGAACTGATTTGGATACTAAGATATCTGAACAAATGAATTTAAACCAATTGATAGGATTTATGATAATGTTGGAAATGATCAGTTTAGACTCTAATTCTTAACATTTGACTTTGATTTTAGATTTTTTAATAATAGCTATCGGCTTCGATTTACAAAGAAAGTATCTTTAAAATATAAAAAGACCTTTGTAATAATTAGAATAGTAAATTTGAGAAACATAATACCGTTTTAATGAGAAAGTGGTTGCCCGTCCATAAACTTGGTTAAACCCTTTAACGAGGTTTTTTAGAAAAACGCAAAGACATTCCTACTTTTTTTTTATTCTTTCGAATATAATTGATTTCATTGAAATCCGATTGATCGTTTTCTGTTATAAAAATTTTGCAACTTTCAACCTCTATACATTTTTAGGAATTTATCCCATCAGAACTGTACAAAATGTATTTTTCATTATTCGCCATAAGCATTAACTTCCAATTAGTTTTATTTAATAGTATATTGTATACCAAGGAGATAAAACGGCACTTTTAAGGTCTCAAGTGCGATGTTTTCAGTACGAGACGCGAAGCGCGCGAGGCGAAGACGAGTATTGAAAACATCGCACGCGGTCTTAAAAGACCTACCCCCGAAGTGCACACGGTACTTTATATAACACACCATGATCTCCGAGCTTCTGTATCGGGAAGCTGTTATGTACGCGGAAACTGTGTCATAGGCGAATGGTGTTTGCTACTGGAGCGCGGGAATGCAACCCCCCGACAGAGTCAAGGGGCAAAGCCCCTTGCGGCGATGGAAGGGGGTTCCCCCCCCCAAGAGCACTAAACGTAATTTTTAAATGATTATTAACATAAATTACGAGATTCTAATTCTTTACTTATTTATATTTTTTTTAACAAACAATACTATATCGACACATTTATTT